AATAAATCCAAACTCCTCCTCCTCCTCCTCCTCTTCAGGGGAGTGAAAGAGAGAGAAATGCTGCTGTTGCATGCATTTGTATGTGAGAGAAGTGCTGCGTTTGTTGGGTCCCTAGGAGAAAAGTGGACTGTGTGTATTTGAGAGGGAGAGAACTGGCATCTCCAGTGGAAAAGGGACAGGCAGGAGGTGATGTGAAAGACCTCCGCCTGAGACCCTGGAGAGCAGCTGCCCGCCTGAGTAGACAAGGCTGACCTTGATGGAGTTTGGTTCAGTTTAAGGCAGCGTCGTGAGTTCATAGGAGAGTGGGGCCACGTTGTGTTTTGGGGTTGTGTGTAAGAAAGGTGCATAGTCTGTCTTTTTGGCAGGAGGGAGCTGTGACCTGTGCATGCACACAGAGAGAGAGAGAGAGAGAGAGAGGCGCTCCAGGCGCTGCCTCCCACGGGGCCCCTCCAGGTGTCACTACTGTCAGCACGGCCTGGCAGGCACTCCCCAGGCTCTGGGGCGGAGAGGTCCCTCACGTCACCTCCTGCCTGGCCCTCTTAACTTAGCAGCGCTGCTAGGGATGGAACCTGAGACCTTCTGTGTGCGTGCCAAGCAGGTGCTCTTCCACTGAGCCACAGCCCTGGGTTTGTGTGCACGACGAGAGACGGATGTGGGAGGAAGAAACACTCCTGGGTGTGTGTCAGCAGTGCTACGGAGCGTGAGGGAGGTGCCGTGCATGCGTGTTGTGTGCCGGAATGGTGTTGTCGTGGGCTTTATCTGCGCAAGGTTATTCTCGGCAGCCGACAGCGGGGACGAGTTCTGATTCAGTCGGCACCAAATCTGCCTAAGTGATCCCTGACAGCTTGTGTGCGTGTTTCCAGCCGTCCCCTTCTGTCTGGCAAAGGCAGCTAACGGCACCAATTAAAGCACCCTGGCGCTGGGCAAGGAGGAGGAGGAGGAGGAGGGGTGCTTAGTCACCAAGACCTACTGTGCTTCCCAGCGCCAGGGCTGGCACGAGGAGGGAGGAGGAAGCCAAGGACTCATGAAGCTTTACTCCACCCACACGTTCCTGACACGTAACGGCACACTAATGAAAGTCCTGAGGCCGCTCTAGCTTCAGTCTGCCCTTACCGGGGTGGGGGTGGGGGGAGAGCTGGTTGCTCTCTTAGTTGACATTTGGTTCTGGAGTTTGACTAGACATGGGTCCCTGAGGGAGGGGAGGCGTGGCGGCTCGGGGTGGTGGTGGACCACAGCGCTTCCCTGCAGAAGGTCCCAGATTCCATCTTCAGCATCTCCCGCGAGAAGGGCTCAGGGACACACACACACTGACACTCAGGCTCTGGAGAGCTGCTGCCAGCACCAAGGAGAAGGTGGGGGGCTCCACGGCGGAGGGGTGCCACGTGCTGCTTGCCCTCTCCTCCCTGAGGGGTCTCTCCCAAGATGCCCGCAGCAGTGGTCGCCCACAGAGGCCCGGAATGTCACAGTTAAGAGATACACGGAAACCGAAGTTCTCAGGAGGCCCGGACGGTTGTCTTTCGCCGCTCCTGCCTCTGATGCCAGATGCATGAGGCTGGGGCATGGTGAGAGTGGAAGCGCATCCACTTCTCTGGCACAGGCTGCCTGTTCCGCAAGTAGGGGTGGGGCCCTCACTGTTTTGGAGACGCTGTCGGCTTGCCCAGTCCTTCCTCTGAGCTGCTCTGGGCAGTTTGCGTGTTTCGTCACCACATGTTTCGTCTCCCCGGCCGCTCTTGGACCAAGCCTCCACCTCTCGTTCAAGGCCCTGGCATGGGCACCCCTGGAGGCGGAGCGGCTGTGGTTCCTGGGACGCCCCAGAGAAGCCGGTTTCCTCCCCCCCACCCGAAACAGCGTTCTTGGCATATCAGGTCCTCTGGACGTGACCCGCAGGAGGGAGCAGTGTCATTTCTCCGGTGCTGCTGGCTGCCCTGTGAGCTTCTGGAATGGGAAGCTGCCTGGGCTCAGCAGTCGGGGCAGGTGGACTGCTACGAAAGAGATGCCTTTCCCTCCCTCGTGATGTCATTTCCCTCCCCCCCCCCACTTAAACTGCTGACGCGGTCCCCCAAGATGGCTCCGTGTGCCTGTGCCAGCTGGCATGCCCACTGGCCCTCAGGCCTCGCCGAAGAGAGCAGCTGTGCAGGTTCTTGAGCAGCAGAGCTCCGGGACGGACCTTGGGTGGGTGTGCCTGTGGCTTGCCGTGCTTGTGGTACCATAATGATGTTTTTTGAGACAACTGAGTGTCAACCATAATCTGATTTGCTAAAGAGACGGGTGCTTGGCTCCAGCGGGCCCTAAGGGTTCTGCCTTCACCCAGGTCCCAAGGGGAGGGAACCTCGTGGAGATTGTGATGGACACTTTGTTATGGGGTTCATCTGATCCTCACTAACTCAGTCAAGAGCCTCGGGGGTTATACTGGACCCGGCACTGCTGCTGGAGAAACAAGTTAACGCAGCTGCAGAAAATGCTTTCTCCCCACTCACTCTAGCCTGGAGGAAGGCCCCCTGCCTCGATGTGGCTGGTCTGGCTGCCTGGATCCACCCTGCAGTAGCACTGAGACCAGACGACTCCAGTCCACTCTGCCCAGGCCTCCCCTCCAAGTCCGTTGGTGCAGAAGGCTGCAGCTTGGTTATCCTCCAGAGCCAGGCAGAGCCATCCCCCTCACTCCCACTCTCCAGTCGCTCCAATCGGCTGCCCCTTGTTTAACAGGCTCCATCCCGGGTATCGGTGATCCCATACAAAGCCCTTCATGGCCTCGGACCCCCCCCCCAGATCCTGACCAGGTCAGGAAGGGTCCCCCCTCTCCGGCTTCCCGCAAACCACGTGGAACTACATGATTCCGGAGGGTGTTTTGGCACCGCTGGCAGGGCTGTCCAATAAAAAAAATGGCTGAGAAAGATGCTTTGGTAAAGGGAGAAGGACGGGGCTACTGCATCTGGTAGGTGCCATGGTGTTGCTGTGTGATTTCTGTGTCATCCCGCCTGCCTATGCTGAAGCCATCTCAGGTTTCTGCAGCCCAAACCCTAACCGCATTGCTCACTGGATGTGCCGTCTCTTTTGATCGCGTGGGTGCCCTTTATGTCGTCGTCTCGGTGAAAGAAAGGCTGTGGCGTCCTCTTATTGGGGAGGACTGTATTTCTCTTTAATATTTATATTTTGTGTTTACAAAATAGGTAGTTCCAGCTGCCTGCCACCAGGAATTTTAATAAATTCCAAATCCCCTCTTTGCTTCTGGTGTTGGTATTGTGACCCAGGGTCTTGGCTTTCAAGGACCTATGTGGTCCTGAGGAAGAATTGATATGAATAACGGATCAGGCTTCTGGGATATATTTAAATAAAATCGCATTTATTGAAAGAGGAACAAAATAAGAGGTTGGTTATTATGTAACTGGCTGGGAATAAGGTTCTTGTAAATATATTTGTCAACTGTGTCACACACACTGTCCGTTTTAGTCCTTACGATTCCACCCTGACAGGAATCTCTCACTTAGGCGACCACACAGTTTAATCTCTTGGTAAATTTAACTTCTTTAAGAACTTTATAAAGTTTCACTATTGAAGATATATGCTGCTCTCTCTCAGATCCCACACAGAACTAACTGAACTCTCACTGACCGAACATCAACTGAACGATACCAACTGACTTTCATAACTAACTTTCACAACTGACTTTTTCTGATTGGCCACCTGACACTCACGCAGATCCACTTCAAAAACCCCTCCCCTCTCGTTCATCCACCAATCACAGCACACTGATCTCTCAATCGTTCTACTCTGCTATCGTCACACTTCAACCAAGCGTTTAAAGGCGCGCACACACACACACTCTTAAAACAAGGAATCGTTACAAAGGCGGACCTAAATAATGTGAATAAAGAAATGAAACAAAAAAAGAGCCCAGTTTCCCGAGCTGAAGGATTCTGTGGCCAGCGAGGTGGAGGGAGGTGCCTCTTCAGAGTCTGGGGGGGGGGGGGGGGAGAGAACATTGCGCTTTGCTGGCCTGTGGCCACCCGGGCCTCTGCCAGTCTTGTCTGGCCCTTTCCTTGTCTGGTTGCCCGGGACTGGTTTCTGCTCTGCTCTGCTCTGTTTACAACGGAATGTGGCTCAAAATTGATGGTCACAGTCACAGAACAGACCGCAAAATAAAAAATTAAAATATGTATTCATCATGTTAAAATAAAACATTCCATAATCAATTTCTTTTCTTTTCTTTTTTCAATTTTTTGGGAAAAAAACAAAAAAGGCTTCAGGAAAAAAACGTGGGGGAAAGGGTTTTTCCCGAATTTTTCCGTTTTTTTTCCGGGCCTTCACATCTCTAGTGGAGTCCCACCGGTCCTAATTCCTCCGGGCTGCCCTGCACGTAGGTATCGTGGATCGAGGAGCTTTCCTAAGATGGGAGGTGGGGCATTAGACCTTACGGGACCTTTCCTTGGGACCAACCGGTATTAGCAAAAGGAACTCCAGATTGGTGTGGGAAAAGTAGTACTTCTCAGAGCCGAAGCACTATTGCTTGGCCTTGCAGTAAGTAAAACATGATCTCCTACCCACAGCCAGAGGGCTATCACTTGGAGGAGGACAAGGAGCAACAGAGGAGATTAAGGGTGGGAAGGTACCGGCTGGATCTCAGGGGAACCTTTTTCTACAGGAAGAGTTGTGCCGCAGTGGAATCGGCTGCCTCGGGAGGTGGTGAGCTCCCTCCACTGGCAGTCTTGAAGCAGTGGCTGGACAAACACGGGTCAGGGAGGCTCTCGGCTGGTCCTGCGATGAGCAGGGGGTTGGACTAGATGGCCTGTGGGGCCCCTTCCAGCTCTGTGGTTCTAGGATTCTGTGATCTGCTCCCAAGCTCATGGCAGAGGCTGAACTGGAAGGCAGGCTCCACGCCGTCATTCAGATGATGTGATTGTGAGGTGGAAGCACCGACCTGTCCCACTTACCTCTGCACCGAAACCCCCTTTGCGGAAGTGTTTCCTGCCCTTAACGGGTCGTTTCTCTCTTTTTTATTGCAGGTTGCCAGTCGAGGGCGGCCACCATGTGAAGCAGCTCCTGGGACTGTGGCGGTCCCCTGCCTCCCACACACACACCCAGGGCCAGCCGATTCGCTTCCGCAGCCGGGAGATGCCTCACGGCACATGAGCCCCCCTCCTCCCGAGCACTCTCCTGAGCCGCCAGAGGGGAAGCGGAGGAGGAGGAGGAGGAAGGCGCGCCGCGCAGAGGAGCCATGGGACTGAAGGCCATGGTGACCTGAGCTAAATGGCCAGCCGCTGGGCTCCTGGTCTCGTAGCCGCTTGCTTCCGCTTTGCCCCTCTCTGCGGCTCCCGCTCCTTCTCCGTGAGCTGCCCCTGGCTCTTCCGGTGGTGGCGCTGGAGGCACCGGAGGCAGCTTGGTGGGTGCCCAGCGTGAGGAGGGGTGAGCCGCCCGCCGCACCATGATTCAGCTGTGGAAAGTCGTGCGACACGTGCGACAGCTGGAGCTCCACCGCCTGATCCTGCTGCTCATTGCCTTCAGCCTGGTCTCCATGTGCTTCCTGGCTTACTATGTCACCAACAGCCCCAAGATCAAGGAGCCGCCCCCCTTGCCCTTCAGCGACTGCAGCAGCCAGCACCGGGCCCTCCTCCCGCCCCAGGCCAGCTGGAGGCTGACCAGATCCGTGGACAACTCTCACACGGACCCGGTGGTGCTGGTCTTCGTGGAAAGCCTTTATTCCCAGCTGGGGCAGGAGATTGTGGCCATCTTGGAGTCCAGCCGGTTCAAGTACCGGACAGAGATTGCCCCCGGGAAGGGGGACATGCCCACTCTGACGGACAAGGACCACGGCCGCTACGCGCTCATCATCTACGAGAATGTCCTCAAGTACGTGAACCTGGATACCTGGAACAGGGACCTCCTGGACAAGTACTGCGTGGAGTACGGGGTTGGGATCATCGGCTTTTTCAAGGCGAACGAGAACAGCCTGCTGAGTGCCCAGCTGAAGGGCTTCCCCCTCTTCCTCCACTCCAACCTGGGACTGCGGGACTATCACATCAACCCCAGTGCTCCACTGCTGTACGTGACCCAGGCGAACGAGGTGGAGCAGGGCCCGCTGCCCGGGGACGACTGGACGGTCTTCCAGTCCAACCACACCACCTACGAGCCCGTCCTGATGGCCAGCACAAAGTCCTCCGAGTCCATCCCGCACCTGGCCACGCACCGCGCCCTGCACGCGACGGTGGTGCAGGACCTTGGGCTTCATGACGGCATCCAGCGGGTCCTCTTTGGCAATAACCTCAACTTCTGGCTGCACAAGCTCATCTTTGTGGATGCCATCGCTTACTTGACTGGCAAGCGGCTCTGCCTGACCCTGGATCGTTACGTCCTGGTGGACATCGATGATATCTTTGTGGGCAAAGAAGGGACGCGCATGAAAGTGTCCGATGTAGAGGTAAAGCTGGGCAAGGGGGCGGGGGGGGGGAATCAGAGGCCTGCGTGCTCAGAGCACCTCGGTGCAAAGCATCACACCACGCACCCGTCTCGTTTTTCTGACCTGAATTGAGCCTGGGTCGGGGGGGAGTTTGCCATCAAGTTGCAGCCGACTTGTGGTGACCCTGTAGGGTTTTCAAGGCCAGAGACATTCGGAGATGATTTCCCATTGGCAGCCTGTGTGTCACGACCCTGGTAGCAGCCAAGGCTTCTGACAAGGTCTGTGCAGGCCAGAGCTGAGCATGACAAAAGCCCCTTCCATGGGGTCAGTTTGGTATTAAAACCTGGCAGGCACGAGGAGGCTGACGCTCCCTGCACTGCCGGCTCGGTCTAGGTTTGGGTCTCACAGGCCAGCCTGCGTGAAACTCCCTGCAGGTGCCCTCTGGTGAGTGGCACCTTCAGGCCCGGCGAGAGGAAAGAGGGCAGGGGCTGCCGAAACAAGCTCTGATCACGTCATTCTAAACCACGTCTCATTTAGGGGTTTAGCTGAGTGAGACAAAGGAGTAATCTGTCATCAGTCAAACAGAATTTCGGGCAAAGCAGATAAAGCTCAGATTTACCCATTTAAAAGGGGTGAGCTGGTTGCAGGGCCTGGAGAGGTTAACGCATTCTCCTATTTGTGAAAATGTGGAATCAGGCTGAGGATTTGTCGTTGAGGAGGAGGGGGGACTTCCCAGGGACAAGACAGCAGGCCTGTCCTCTCATCCTGCACCTGAAGAGATCTAGGAGCACCCAGACCAATCTTAACACCTCTGTTTCTTGGCCTCCCAGAGCGCCTTCACTGTCGGGGACAGTTGTTTTGGCAAAAGCATCCTTGCGTATCAGCCAGCAAATTGAGTGAACTTCGCAAATTATGCAAACATGTTGATTATGCACGCCTCAGTGGCTTTCACACATTAGTCTTACAGGGTTTTGGAATCTCTTGTGAGGAATTCTGAGGCAGGAAGTTGGGGGGGAAACGTGGGCTTCTCAGAAAGCTGCTCGGGGCAGGAGGCGTCCGGCGCCAAGTGAAGCCGCTCTGGAAGACCAGCGGGGGGGGGGGACTTCCTCTCCCCTTCTCAGATCTCCTCTCTCTGGGTGCTCGGAACCAAATTTTGGGTGCCACATGAAGAAAATTTCTGGTATTTGGTTGACGATTAGTGGCCAAAGAAAACGAACAAACGTAGTATTTCTGTAGTGTGTTTTTATATGAAAGCGAGTTCCACATTTATTTGTTTGTTGACTTCATTTCTGACTCAGAGCAGCTGGCACCGTCCCCCCCCCCTCCGTGGTGACGTGGGTGAGGCCGGGAGGGTGTGGCCAGACCCAGGTCACCCGGCCAGCTTCCAGGGCAAAGGGAGGGTCTGACCCTGTGCCCGACTGACTGGCTCTCACACTGGCCCTCTGGCAGATGAGGCCCGGGCTCTCTCAGCCCCCTCCCGTGTGGTTCCCCCGCTGCTGTTGTGCAGCTGCTCTGGGCTGCCCCAGACCCCCCAGCAGGGCTTTCCCAGGCATTCTTGTGGGGTTTTTTTGTTTAACCAACAGTTGAATATTGTTATCCGGTTCCCAGCTTCCATTAAAAAAAAAAAAAGCATTTAGCCCCTTTAAGGGGAAAGGCTGTACAACAAGCAGGCCTAGAGATTTACTTTTCAGTAAAAGCTCTGAATTCAGAGAACCTGAAGGGCATGGTGCAGTGTCGGGCGAGGGACTGGGAGGCCCCGGTTCGAATCCCCACTCGTGCAGTTGAGGCGACCTTGGGCCAGACACTCACTGCAACCTCACCTACCTTGCAGGGTTGCTGTGAGGATAAAACAGAAGAGAGTGATGTAAGCCGTGGTGGGTCCCCATTTGGGAGGGAGATGGGGTATAAATGAAGCGAATAAGGGATTTTAATGATGGTGCAATGGCTCGTTTGAGAAAGCGCGGGGAAAGCGGGTGCCAGCGCAGCCTCGCAGGGGTGGGAGGGGTCGCGAGAAAGGTAGGGAGAACCTGGGAGGCACTTGGAAGCGCCACGAAGCGGGAGGAAAGCACCCGTCCCCACAGCGCCCCCCGCCAGAGCAAAGAGAACACGATGGAGGCGCAGAGCACACGTGAGCGTTCCGTGCCTGCTCCTTGGTGGAGGCTGCCGGCCAGTCCTGCGCGGGGGCCTTTGCCAGAGAAGGAAAGCAGCAAGCGGCAGATGGAGGTCATTGTCGCTTCCTGCTCAGACCTCCTGTGCGTGACATCCAAAGCTCTGAGCTTCCAAGAGGGTGTCAGGTCCCCACAGCAACAATGAAGTACACGCTTGTAGAAAGGTTTTACTTTTATTGAAGCTAAAGGTGCATTGACAGGAACACTGTTAGGAATGACTTGGAACCAAAGAGCATGTCAGAATATAGTACATTCAAATCAGCAAGACCCAATTGCGGGAGTTCCCGCACGCGGCATTAGGCCTGAGAACTAACGGTACTAATAAGCATAACAGGTAAAACTTCCCACGACTCATCCGAGGGATAACCCAAGCAACTTCTACAGCAGCTCTCCTCCTGCGGCCTTAAAAGATACGTGTTGCTGTGGAAAAGCAATTAAGCGCAAGGAAAGGAATGCGCATGAAAGCAAAAGTAGAAATAAAAACACTTGGCAGCTTGCTGACAGAGGGACCGTGGCTTTGCCTGCCAAAAGTCCCAGGTTCGGTCCCCAGCCGAGTTCCCTCCAAGCCGTGCACGTGGGCAGCCGCTCATCAACGCAGGAAGCCCCACTCCGCAGCAGTCTGGAGCCGCTCGGGGTCTTGTACTGCCCAGTGCCCATTTTGAGACTCCATCAGGATGTCCGCTCAGTAGGAAAGAAAAATTAGAGGGAACATTGGCCCAGCGTCTCCAGTTCAAAGGACCAGGCACTAGGTGATGTGGAGGACCTTGACTTGAGTCCTTGGGGAGCTGCTGCCCGTCTGAATGGACAGCGTTTAACTTGATGGGCCGACGGTCTGTATCAGTCCAGCTTCACGTGCATTCAAGTGAGAGGAGAGTGGAGGGCTGAAGCATGATTTGGAGGTTCTCTCTCTGTGCCTCCACACCAAGCTCCGGTGGCCGTAGCCCTGTGGTGTCCCTTCGACCATTCCCCCGTGAATCAGAAGCTGGACACACAGGAAAGCTCCACGGCCACACCAGGCCACGTAGCGAGCTGATCTGGGGTGTTTTGCTCCCGCGCCATTCACAAATCCAGGTGGGCAGCCATGTTGGTCTGAAGCATGACTGACTACGAATTGCAGGACGTCTAAGTCCAGGGGCAGGCACCTTTAAGACCCACCACGTTTTATTCAAGGCGTGAGCTTTCGTGTGCTTTCATTTTGTGAGGCAAAGCTCATACGTTGAATAAAACATGGTCTTAAAGGTGCCACTCAGGGCTCTTTTTGTAGAAAAAGCCCAGCAGGAACTCATTAGCATAATAGGCCATACCCAACAGCAGAAACTCATTAGCATGTTGGGCCACACCCTGACTGCACCGCTCATTAGCATATTAGGCCACACCCCCATGTTACCAGAAGTGTGGTCATCCAGCCACACCCACCTTTTGCTTCTTATTCTGCTTACCTTGTTTGTTGTCAAAACCCAGGGCCTTTTTTTGTAGCAGGAACTCCTTTGCTTGTTAGGCCACACACCCCTAATGTAGCCAATCCTAATGAGTTCCTGCTGTCGGGTGTGGCCTATTGTGCTAATGAGTTCCTGCTGGGCGTGGCCAACTTGGGAGCCAGCCGGAACTCTGTTCCTGTGCGTTCCTGCCCAAAAATAGCCCTGGTGCCACTGAATCATGGAATCATCAAGTCATCTCGTCCAACCCCCTGCACAGTGCAGGAAATTCACAATTATCTCCCCCTCCACACCCCCAGTGATGGCTGTTCCACACCCAGAAGATGACAAACTTCAATGCAATTCATAGTTAGTCAAAGAAAGTACCATATTGTAACTCTTTACTCTTTAACGGCAGCAATTATCCTACCAGCTTTAGCACGATGGTTGTGCAGACTTTTAAAAACAAATTGTCCACCTTTGGAAACAGCAGTACGTGGCTGTAAAGCAGGTGATGCGTCGTGTTTGAGCAAACGTACTCGTGCTTTGTACAACTGAGAGAGCAGAGCGTTGCAACAGGAGGAGGGTCAGGTAAACATTTCGGGGGAAGGCCATTGTGCAGACTTGCATTTAGGGTTGCCAGACGTTAGAGATGAAATGAAGTACCGACAATGTGTGTGGTTAAAGTGCGGTCAAGTCACAGCCGACTCACGGTGGCCTCAGCAAGAGGTTCCCAAGGCAGCTGAGAAGCAGAGAGGGTTTGCTGTAGCCTTCCTCCGCAGAGTCCTCCTTGCCACGACTGGCTCTGCTTAGCGTCCGAGATCTGAGGCGTCGGGGCTATCCCACAGCCCAAAGCTACAGATCTACAAAAGCACTCTGGGAGATTTTCGTTTCCTCTTTTGCTTATGATCGCTGATCACAAACCTTGTTGGTATTCTTAAGACACAAACTTCAGGAAACGGGTCCGTCAGCAAAGACCCAAGCGGAGGCGCCACGTTGGGGGCTGGGTGTGGACGGGGGAGCGTCAGCAGCTGCTACAAAAACGGGGCTCTTTGGGATTTATCAGCTGACAGATGTGTTGTCATAGTAACCCAGTGAGGCTTTAAACCTCCCCTCATGCACACTGTGGCTGCTAAGCCTCTGAGCACCACCACCTCTTCCCTCGCTAGCTTTCATGCCAGCCTCAGGCAACAGCAGCAGTTTGCCTGCTCCACAGGAGTGTGTCAGCCTGAGGCACCCTTGAGAAACACCCTTAGGACTGGGTGGCCTGGGCCCCCTACGGGGACTCCAGTGACACACAAGTTGACCCCGCCTGTGGCACAGCTGCTCCTGCACATCAGTCATTGGCTTGCTGTCGTCCCAGGGGATGGGGAAGGCGTCTGGCAGCCCAGGCCAGTTTTCCCAACCTGCCCTTCCCAACACTGACATCCGGAAACTT